GCAGAATAACATAGTGCACAACTGAAGGGGAGCAAGTCCTAACCCTGCTAAAGGAAATGTAGCCATTATTGGGATGCCCATAACTGAGGATGTGGCCAGCAGTGGGGCTGGTTTCTAAAATGACTGCATCCTCATCTTCCAACTCACATTGCATTTCCTTTTCATTCTACTTTATCTGCTCATCTAAAAGTACATTTCTTACTGCATTTCTTACTTCCCCTTCTCTACACCCTAACCTTACTTTTGTATGTTGTTCCTTTAAGGCATCCCAAAGGTGCATCCTGCCAAGGCAGTGGAAGAACTGCAAGAATGATGAAAAGACAACACTTTAATTAGAATTCACACTTACCTCTGTGAACTCAGTTATTGATGCAGCATGTCAGAGGATAGAATAAAACAAAGAAGCGTGGATGGTGGAGCTGTGAAACAAAAAACAGTAACTGCTGGACAAACTCAGCAGGTCTGGCAGCAACTGTGGAGAGATAACAGTTAATGTTTCCAGTCTGGTGACTGTTCTGATGAAGAGTCACTGGACTTGAAATGTTAACTCTGCTTTCTCTCCAGACCTGTTGACTTCCTGCAACAATTTCTGTTTTATATCAGAGGACAGACTTTTTAAAATCCTTCATGGGATGTCAGCTTTGCAAATCCCCAACTGCTTCTTTGAACTGAATGGCTTTCTGAGTCATTTGGGAAGGCAGTTAAAAGTCAATCACACAGCTGTAGTTTGGAGTCACATATAATTAGACAAGCTAAGGAAGTCAGATTTCCTTAATAAACCAGATCAGTGATGGTTTCATGGACACCACTACCAGGGCTTTTATTTTAGACTTCATTAATCGAATATAAATTCTAAACCAGCTACCATGGTGGGATTTGAACTTGTTTCCAGTGCATTAGTTTAAGGTCTCTGGATCACTAATCCAATGACGTTACCATTATCTTTCCTGGAGTTTGAGTGTCCGAAGACAGTGGATGGAGGAACAAGGATAGCATTGATGCCAGCTCACTGAAGTGTAAAGCCATTTGCAGAATTTGTTGAAGAGGACTCAGTGGAAAACTTTGATGGGACAGCTGGGTATGCCTAGTGAAAAGGCTGCAGCAATTTACCATAGAGCATGGAGGAGTCTAGCACCAACTTAGAACAGGGCTTTGGAATCCCAGTCCATCCTTTCCAACATGGATGGGGTGTCCAACTTGTTCACGCCAGAATCTGCTACATCTGATGCTGTTATCACAATTTCTATTGTTGCACAAGCTGCAAACAGTTATCATTCGTGCTCCATCTGTTGCCATAGGTACATAGGAATAGACCATTCAGCCCCTTGCGCTGCACCATCATTCTATCCCAAGGAGGTTTATGTACCACAACATTATTTTTGGGCGTTATCTCCGTATTTGTTTGCCATTAATATCTACAAATTTCTCTCTTAACAACTGAGCTACAAGATCCCCTCTGGGGATAGGGAATTCCAAAGATTCACAATCATCTAATTGAAGAAATTCCACTTCATCTCAAACATAAATGACTTGTTCCTCATTCTGATAACATGCCTTCTGGTTTTAGATGCCCCATTCAGACTCCTTCTGGCTGTGGATTACAGTGTTCAAAGGAGGTGACATGTTCTCTCAAAAGTCCAGCAAATATGATCCAACAGAATACCAGGCTGCCCTTGTACATAAACTTGGAGCAGAAACCTTTTGTCTTCTCTCAGAAAACAATCTCAGAATGACAGTATTCATCCTGCAGTCATTGGCACTACACCAATGCTATGCTGTTTCCTGTCAGTTGCCCAGCCAAGATAGCTGTTTCGCAAAGCAAAGTGGCGTATTTCAAGTTCAGGCCTTCCCAATCCAGAGCTGATTGAAGTCCTCCTACAAGAAAAGTCATCAGCTTTCCACTAGCCACCACACAGGAACTGGGGTAGCATTGCATCAGAGCACAAGGACAGGGAAGGGAACGTGGAAGACAAGCATTAAGGAATGCACAAAGCTAATTTTTTTTAACTTATGGTCTAAATTCTTCATTTAATGTTATTTAATATTTATGCATTACATCCATGCAGATGCTACATCAGAGGGACAACTGTTTATAAATGGGGAATTGGGCTTAGGAACACTAGTACTGAGCTTGGATGAGTTTTTCCTGGAGGAACAGCCAGAAAACAACTGTCAGGCTTGCTTCCTCTCTTCTTCCTCCTCCACGTGTTCTTTACCTCATCCTTCTTCTTACATTCTTGACCTTTAGCTTTTGTCTGTGTAGTTACTGGGAATTATAGCTGCTATAACTACTGTTAATGGCTGATCCTTTTGATGGCGAAATTGTGGAGCACGCAACTCCATGAGTCTTGACACATTTTCCACCTGGTGCTCTTCCAAAGAAATCCAGGCACCAGTTGTCCCACACATGAATGGTTTGCTCTGTCTCATCTTGGGTGTCATATTAAATACTTACCACAGGCATGTTACTTACCAGAGTCATCAATGGTCAGCAGATAGCCTTGATACTCAGGAGCCACCCTTTGGTTTAATGTGGTAGCCCAAATTCAAATGGAATGGACTATGGTAGAATGAAGGCAACATGACTGCTGTCAGGGTATTGACTTCATGTATAGTCACATGCTAGCTGGACATTGAGGGAGTGAACTCTCTTTTCAGTTCAGATCCAGGGAAATGTTGATGTTTAGCACCCAAAGAGTCCTGAAGAAGGGTTATACCTGAAACATTGAATGCTCCTTTCCTCCAGATGCTGCCTGGCTTGCTGAGCTCTTAAAGTCTCCTGTTTTGTCTGCCTTGGATTCCAGCATATGCAGTTTTTTTGTCTGTAACCTTAGTGAGTTGGGATAGTTAGATTATATTGAAAAGGATAGTCTGGTCAGGGATTAGTCAAGTCAGGTTTGGAGGATATTCAGGTCTGGTTAGCAGCGTACTTTGGTAGTGAGAGATCATTGGGTCTGAGTAGGGTGTAGTCAAGACAGATACGGTGATTGGGGATTAAAGGGGATGTTGGTTTGCCATCCTTCTCACTGTATTGGTTTTTCACATGTCTTATGAAGAGAGATTGAGCAGTTTAGGCCTAATTCATTTTTAATTAGCAATGGGTTGAACAGTTATGGGGAGTGAACAGGAGCATGGAGTTGAGGCTGAGATAAGATTAGCCATGATTGTATCAAATGATGCAACAGACTTAAGGGGCTGAGTTGCCTACTCTTGCACCTAGTTCTATGTTCGTATGTGTCTTTTGTGGTTTTGTATGTTAAGAACTGATTGGATACTGCTGATCTCCTGTGATATGATTGATCTTCTCCTCTTTGTATTGATCTGTGCTGCTGCTGTTCAGCTTCTCTTACCATCTGTATGACTGTCTCTAAATTTTCAAATTTTATTTTGATTGTAATAAATCCAATCCAATAACAATTCTATCCTCATGATTTCTGACTTTAAACCATCATGGTTGTATTGCTCCACTAATCTATAAAGCTTGTTAGTGAAATTATCCATCATTCCCCTAGATTCAGAACTCTTCGGCTAAATCTTGCTCTTTTACGAATCTTATTTGTTCAGAGGTTAAAACAATTGTTAAAGGCTTTCAATACTTCTTCAAAAATATCTGTTGCTTCTTTTACAACTGAGCAAGTGAGAACATCATTAGTTACATTTCTAATTGTTTATAGAAGTATACTAACTTGCTCTGTTTCTGGTTTAATACCTAACTTGGAAGTCATTTCATATTCTAAGAATTGTTTTCTCCAAGATGTCCAAAGTGTTATTTAGTCCATCTCTGAAAGCCTCCTTGTCCAGTCACTGCTTGGCTGAATCCTGACTCTGAACTGTTCCTACAAGTCATTGGTATCCAATGCAATCTGTAATTGTCATGGAAAGACTGATACTTCAGAGTCAGGGAGGTCCTAACTGCCCTGCAGCAATGCATCTGTTACCAGGTCTGAGTTCTTTTACCATCAACTGTAGATTCTGCTTTGCTGAATCATGACTCAAGGGTTTCTCTTGTAAGGTTCCTGAATCTTCAACACTTCCTGCAGCTCACTATTAATATGAGTAGCATTCTTAAAGCTGTGTCTGAAGCATCCTCAGACATCCAAAGCTGCCCACATTTGGCATCAGGCAGCTGAACAAAATCTACATTGCCGCTCACCATGTTGCATGAGCAGTGCTCACCACAGAGCACTATGGTGTATGAGGTTGTTTTATGAGGCTGTTTGCCCTATTGCTCATCATAGGATCAAAACCTAGAAACATAGAAAATGTTAAGCGTTGTAGGTACTTCACCATTCCAGGCAAGTGATGAATACTCCATCACACTCCTAACCTTTGTCATGAATATGATGGACAGGCTTTGGGGAATTCTTGCCAAACATTATTTGCCTCTGACTAGCTCTTATAATTACAGTATTTGTATGGGTGGTCCAGTTATGTTTCTGGCCACTGGTAACCTGTAGGATATTGATGGTGGGGGATTCTGCACTGAAAATGCTGTTGAATGTGAAGGACAGATGGTTACATTGCAATCAATATTCATACTGATAATAAAGAGCTTCAATCTGCCTGAGTCAAAGAATGAATGTTTATGTGAAAATATATAGTCTGAGATGAAACATTGTATTTCAAAATGATGTACATTTGTGGACTCGAAAGGTTTTTAAAAATATTATTAAAGCAATTCAAAATCATCTGGGAACAGAAGATGTTATCTAATTCTAATGCTGATTTTATTTCCCAGTGTACAAGTGATTGCCTTCTTTACAAAACCATGACTTGTGTTGAAGCTTCCTTAGAAAATGGAATCCTTTAATGTAAATAGAAAATTAAGCTTTATAGAAGTAACATGGACTTTACCCCAAATTAAAGAATAACAAAACATTACATCTTTCATTATGATACAAAGGAAGGAATTGCAGAGTTCAGTCTCCTTTTTGAGAAAGCACATTTAAAGGTACGGAATATAAAAATAACGTTAAACATTTTCTCTCACCTTGTTTCAGATGGAAGATGTTATAGCACGAATGCAAGAGGAGAAAAATGGGATTCCTATCCGCACAGTCAAAAGCTTTTTGTCAAAGATTCCCAGTGTGTTTTCTGGTAAGATACTAATTTTAAGTGGTATGAAAGGTTATAGCCAGTTTTATGTCAGTTATGGCGCAGTTAATGAAATCTACTGAAGAGAAAATGTTGGGAATCAGGAGAACGTTGTGGAAATTCCAGTTAGCCACATTTTACGTAACAAATGCATTAATAAAGCTGACTGTTTGTTCTTTAAAAAAATTCTTTTGCACTGAAACAAGGAGCACATATTTTATTTCAAAATCCAGTCTTTTTGTTATTTCTCTGGACAAGTAGAAGCTGGTCACAGTGTTTCACTTTGGAGTTAGGCAGAGTGTCATGTCTAACTAACCAAGTTAAGTTCATCGTGGAGGTAGTAGGGTGCCTCTGGCTTCCTTCAATCTGCGCTTGCAGAAGCTTTGCATGAGCCCACACTCTTAGAGGGCACTCACCATGCTTTCTGCATTGCCCTCTGCCCTTGCAACTGTCTCATTGTATCCACTGTGAAACTACCTTGAATCATACAAGAATAACAGAAGAAGTTAGAAGACACAAACCAGGAGTTGACAGAAGGATCATTTTAATTTTTCTGTATTCCAAATAGAACTGCCAGAAATCCATGCTTTGCATACGAGATCCTACTTTCTCTTAATCCCTACATTGCTAACCTACATTGGTTCCTTGTCAGACAAAGTCGTCACTTTAAATTTCTTATTTTTCTTTTCAATCTCTCTATGGCCTTGCCACTCCATATCTCTGTAATCTCTTCTAATTTACACTGATCTCTTTATCATTCCCAATATAACTGCTCCACCATGGGTGGCTGTGCCTCCAGCAGCTTAGAAATCACACAACACCAGGCTATAGTCCAACAAGTTTATCTGAAAACACAAGCTTTCAGAGCCTTGCTCTTTCTTCAGGTGTTGGTGAGAGAGGTGGTATCAGACACCGAATTTATAAGTAAAAGATCAAAGGATCACACCACTGATGAAGATGTTAGGCTCCATATTCTGGGATTCCCTCCCCAAAATTCTCCATTTCATTTTTCTTCCTGTAAAACATTCCTTAAAATCCACCTCTCTGAGCAAGCACTTGGTCATCTGACTTAACATTTTTTTACTTGATATGGTGTCACATTTTGCTTTACAATGTTCCTGCAAAGTATCTTGAGATGTTTAATTATATTAAAGGCACTATACAAATGTAGATTGTTGTTATACAAAAGAAAACAACAATAAAAATTCAAGGGGAAAAGGAAATTTTGTTTTAAATGGATTTTTTAAAAAACACAGCTTGTTTTATTGATATATTGGGATGTAAAATAGAGCTAAATTGAATTTGTACAAGGTTATCTGGAGCTCCTGGTATCATTTTGGTTGGCGATGTCATTGAACGGGCGTACCTGGCATAAATGACTGTGTGTAATGTTTCTACAGATTTTTGGCATCATGTTAAATTGTTATTGACTGTGGAAGTTGGATCATTGTCAATGTGATGACCCATCACCTCACCCTCTTCATCTTTCTTTCTACTGAAGTTAGAAATGTAAATTGGAAAAGGTGCAAACCAGTCACCTGTTTTGGACCAAACATTAAAATCGCTCCGAATCAACTGAAGTTAGGCCAGGAGATTGGGAGTTCACCGTGGAAATTCAAATCTTAGTTATACACAGTAAACTTTTTAATGTCCGGCACCCACGGGACCAGGAGTGAATGGGTTGATTAAATATTCCGGATAATCAAGTGGTCCACATAATCAATGTTAAAACATACACTAAATGATAAAAATATAATACAAGGGTTATGCACATCACTGCTATACATTATTTACAGCATACATCACTTAAATAATAATGCAAACTTTCCCTTAAATACCAGCAGAGAGCCTTCTCACTTGCACCCTCAACTGATTATTCAGACATTGTGGTAGATAGAATAGAATAGGATAGGATAGAATAGAATAGAATAGCCTTTACTGTCACATATACTCAATGAGTATATTGAAACGTTTATACGTCACCAATTACAGTGGCGACTTGGATACAAAGGTACCTCGGCACAGCTTCTTTAGTTACAAGATTTAGACAATACAGAAATAAAATGTCCAGCGTTACAGAATTAAAAGTTCAGTACAGCAGACTATGCTGGTCGTGGCTCCACACTGCACTGGTGACTCGCCATACCATGCCGAGAGGCTGCTGCAGTAGGCCGGAAAGTCACCACGATAGTGGTATTTGAGGAGAAGAAATCAACTCCAAATTGAATCAACTGTTGATATTTTGTGTGACCGTTCAATTAAACGAAAAGTATATTTGTAACTATAATAATTGGGTAGAATAATACAGTAAACCTCATGGTATTTGAGGTATGTAATTTTTGCCAATTTATTAAGAGTCTCACTTCACAAGGAGCGGTTAAATTAAAGTTTTCTGTGGATATATCATTTCAAACATATAATTTCTAATAGTTTAAAGTTGTTAGCATAAATAAATCAGCATCACAGTACTATTATTTATACAGGCAGTCACTTGCAAAAAGATTGGTAACATAATACTTCACTCAGTTGGATAGGATCTATTGTATATTATTTATAGTTCCACATTCAATATTGTTCACTATCTCTTTGTACATTGGTGTTTACTTTCAGCTCAGAGGCTTTAGAAAGAAAGTGAAGGAAATTCTATTTTAAATGGTACTCTTTCATGACATATGGAGATACTAAAAGGTTTTACAACGAAAAAATTTCTTTCTGAAATGTAGCTTTTATTGTGTTGTCTGTTGTTATGTTTACAGTTGAACAATTTAAAATGAATTGACTTATATATCCAATTCCCAAAATGAATTCCTGCGAAGAGTAAGTTTACTGGGAAAAGACTGATATTGGCTTCTTCCTCCTAACAGCAGGCTATGATACTGCTCTTCTGGCAATGGTAATGAGAGCCCCACTATATTGTGTCACTAACTTGGTCAAATTACTGCTATGGGAGCAAGGTCTTAGAGTATACAACAGATTATGGCAATACGAGGAAAGAAACAAAACAAATTGGTCAGAAGTGGGGCCTTTTGCTGTTGATTGTACAGTGTTCAGCTCCAAACACAATTCTTCAGGTATTGAATTAGCGAACACTCATGTGTAGCAAGACCTGTACAAGATCCAGATTTGAGCTGTGAGTGGCAACTAGCGTATAAACATTCAAATGAAATAAGTGTCAGGCAGTGACCATCTCCAACAAAAGGGAGCCCTTCCACGTCAGTATGATGGTCAGTGGCATCACCAGTGCCAAATGCCCTACGATAAATAACCTATTATTATCACTATTTATTCATCTGTTTTCTCCTCAAAACCACCCTCTTGAAATCCTCAGGTGACCCCTCTGCAGCAGAGGCCACATGCAGACTCACCTTTCAGCAAGGTAGGCAACTGTATTGTCCATATCTTCTGCCCTGACTGCAGACTATTTTACCAAATGACTTTCAATATTCACATACAGTGTGTAAGAGAAAAAGTGAATTATCTATCTTTACCTTCAAAGTTCAATTGACTATTCCTGGAATGAAGGACTTGTTTTACAAGGGAAGGATGAACAGGTTGGTCCTATATCCATTCGTGTTGAGAAGAACGAGGCTTGATCTCAATGAAATATCTAAGATTCTGAGGTGACCTGATTGGTTGGATACCAGAGGATGTTTCCATTTGACTCTAACTAAGGTAAAATCGCTACAGTCTTACCGGACCATAGGACTGCACTCTCATGGTTTAACCTGAGGGTCACCACACCTCAGGTGAGAGGAGAAATTGAGAAGGAGAGTCCTTCACATGCAGAAATTGAACTCATGCTGCTGGCATCATTCTGTATCACAAACTAGCCATGCAGCCAACTGAACCCCTCAACCCTGTCTAGGGGACACCATTTAAAAGTAAGAGGGCTCCCTCTTAAGAAGGAGATGAGAAGCATTTTTTTTTTCTCTCTGAGACAGTTGGCTTGTAAAATTCTCTTGTCCAAAAAGCCAGGTCATTGAACTTGTACAAGCCTGGGTTGGATTGAAATTTGACAGGTGGGGTGGGGGACTGACAGGAGAATGGAGTTGAAACCATAATCAGATGTGTAATAATCTTATCGATTTGTAGGGCAGTTTTGAAGGGCTGAATGGCCACTCTTGTTCCCTAGTCCTCTTGTTCCTGTGTCTATGTTTCTATGTTCCTGACGACTCCACTTCAACACAAAGCAGTTTTCAGCCGATTTATTTCATTCCATGTGATAGCAACCAGCAGCTGAGTGCATTGTATGCAGCAAGTGCTATGAGCCTCAACATCATGCCTGCTGTAGACCTGAGGTCTTGTGATACTAAAACTAGCCAAATCCAGCTAAGTTATTCCAGTGCAACTATAACATTGATATTTGCCCAGAAATGTGTAAGATTGGCCAGGTATTTCCTGTCCAAAGAAGCCAGCCAAATGCAACCCATCAGTCTACTTCCTATCATCAGCAAACTGATGGAATGACTGTGCTATCATGTGGTATCTATTCACCATTGCTAAAGGATATTGTAGGCAACTCTGCTGGAAAGTATGGTGAGATTGAGAAATGAAGTCTGTATCCCTCTAAACCTTTCCTATTCATGTACCTGTCTATATGTCTTTTAAATGTTGTAACTGTACCTGTATCTACCACTTCCTCAGGCAGCTCATTTCACAGTCAAACCACCCACTGTGTGTAAAAGTTGCCCCTTGGGTCCCTTTTAAATCTTTTTCCTCTCACCTTAAAAATATGCTGTCCAGTTTTGAACTCTCTCACCCTGGAGAAAAGACTTTGCTATTCACCTTATCTATGCCAGTCATGATTTTATACACCTCTACAAGGTCACTCCTCAACCTCCTATGCACCTTTACTTTTAGCACAGACCGATAATGCCAGGCAGCTCGTCATTTTTTTCAAGCAGTGATCAGTCAAATGGATGGACATGTCACTTTGCAGCATTGTGCGATATCATTGCCGCATAAACATATGCCAGCACTTATGCAGCAAAAGTACTGAGCGT